GTACTTCAGATGATTAAATTTTTGATTAATATTATGTTTATTTTATCTGATTTAAGGATAACATTAATTTAAAGATAGATGTAAAATAAAATATACAGGGTATTTTTTTTTAGTTCTTAGCATTGTATAAGTTTTCTTTTTAGTATTTTTAATGTACTTATAACTCTATTTTTGGCATTTATTTTAAATAAACCCTTTTATTATTACCAATAGTTTTGTTTCATTTGCATAAAAAAAAATAAAAACAGTTACACCGAACAAAATCTTGAAGGGTTCGTCGTGTGAGAGAAATTCTCACGCGCGAGTTCTCGCGTAATTTTTTAAGGCGCGAGTGATGCAGGGTTAAGTGGGATTAATATAGCTGCAAGGTCAAAGTCAAGTCGCTCACGGCCACGGAATTATACCAATACAAAATGTTTTAATTATTATAAGCCATCTAAAATACGCAATAATTACTATTTTTATATGAGAGAACAAAGCAAAAATATCTCGTGTAGAGATGATTCAGCAATTTGGATATCTGTTAATGTAAGATTAAAGCTCGTATTGTTGTGTAAACGGTGCACATTGCACCGATTTCATTCATGGGTCATGGGTCTATGGCCTCGAGTGACGTTGAATTTACGATTTTTTTTCACAATGTTTTATTTTTTTATGGTCTGTTTTAAAATGTCTGCAAAATATTTATAAAATATATTTCCACGACGTAGTCATACACTTCAAGGTCTAGTAAAAGTTTGTACTACTTCTTATCATGTAAGTTTAAAACGTCTACCACCGACTCCAAAATATCTTATTTCTAAAATGATTTTAATACCTAAACAAAATATTTTCATCTAATTTCCTGGTGATAATCGTGTCGAAAGCCTCTGTAGTGTCAATGAACTTGAATGGAGAACGGAAAGCGCTGTACGAAAGGCGTATATGGCATTAAAAGAATCAGCTACAAAAATGGCTTTAATAATAAACGACGTACAGTGGAACCTGCTTAATTTGAACTTGGCTAATTCGAAATCTTCTTTATAATTCTAATTTTTATTTTAGTCCCTAGCATTTCCTATATCAGTAATGGTAAAAAGCCGTGAATAATTCGAATTATATGTTGGATAATTCGAACTTTTCTACAAGTTAAAATGCCAATTTCATGTTAGAAATTTCCGCGAAAAGAGGTAGTATTCTTTCCTGTCCTAACGTGCCACTTGTTTCAAGGCATTCAAGGCCATTGTACATTGTACTGGCACCTGGCACCTAAATTCTCCCCCACTCGAACATACAAAACTTTGACGTTATCGGAAAAAAAGCGACAATTAAAAAAAGGAGGACAAAGAAAATTATCTGAGATTGCCAAGAACTTTTTAATTCCTCTTACATTATCAACCTACTTTAAGAGTAAAGAAAAAATTCTCAACAGTGAAAGTGAATGTGGTATAGATTGAAAAAATGCCAGAAAATCCAAATTTATACATTGGTGTTTTAAAATGGTTCAAACAAGCCAGGGATACAAAAAAAAAACCGTGAGTGGTTCCCTTATAAGAAGCAAAGCTGAACAATTTAATGTTGACATGGGAAAAATAATTTAAAAGCGAATAGAGGGTGGCTCTACGACTTCAAAAAACGCAACAAAATTTGGTTCAAATCCATTTGTGGGGAAAGTGGGCCCGTTAATCAGCACTAAGCCAACCAATGGAAAAAAATTTGGAGATGATTTAGGATATAGATAAAAGCGATATCTTTAATGTTGACTAGACGGGTCTTTTTCAAATGCACTCCTGACAAAACACTAAAATATCACGGAGGAAAACTAAGTAAAGAAAGAGTCACTCTCCTAATTGGTGTAAACTTGGACCGATCAGAAAGACTGCCTCTACTGATGATTGGTAAGTCGGCTAATCCTCGTTGTTTTAGGAAGGTCAAAAACAGTGGAATATCTGAGCAGCGCAAGAGCTTGGATGGCTAGTGATCTTTTCGAGAAATAGCTGGAAAAATTACACAAAAAGTTCATGAAAGAAAAATATTGTGTTTATTGACAACTGTACGGCACACAATGAGTTTCCACTGATGGAAAATGTAAAAGTTATTTTCTTTCCTGCTAATATGACTTCAGTTATCCAGCCAATGGACCAGGGTGTCAAAAAATCTTTTTTACACACATTTTTAGGTAGAAAACATATTGACGAAAGATTGCGACTTCCTTAAAATAAAGTTAGACATTCTACAAGCATCTCGAATGTGTAAGAAAGCTTGGAACAAAGTAATACCCGAAAAGATCAAACACATCTGGTTTCATAAAAAAGAAGGAGAACACAGACGACACTTTAACAGAAGAGGGAACGACTTTCAGTTGACTGCTGCGGAGACGTCATTTCCAATCCCGCCATCTCTTATGAAGATTTTGTCAACGTGGATGATGTTGTTGCCTCTGCAACATGTTGAAGCCACATGTTGCAGTATATGGTGAAATAACCGATGCAGAGATCATCGCTAAAGTGCTTAAGGACAATGATGAAAAACAAGAGTGTGACGAAGACGACGTGTCATCAACTGCGGAAGAAATGCATGTTCCGAGTGCGGCCAAAGCAAATAAAAATCGACAATATTCTCGGCCGAATTTTGTTGGCCCATTTTTTTCGGTTGACAAAATTCGGGCAAGAATAGGAACGAAAACATCTGTAAGAGATAAAAATGGTCAACTATTGTTGATTTTTAACGTTTGCAGATGTTTTTGTAGGTATCTTTTTGTGGATATACATATTTTTAATTCGAATTTTTGGATAATTCTGCAAGCGATAAAATATTTCGATATTTCTGCAGAAAACATCTGCAAGCGATAAAAATGGTCAACTATTTGAAGAGATACAAAAATAAAACTATACAAAACAATAATACGCCTAGTTTTCACATATGGTGCAGAGACCTGAACTCTAAGAAAAAGTAAAAAAATCATGTTAGGATGTTTCGAAAGAAAAGTAAAAATGTTAATCTATGGAACAGTGAATGATAATGGAATATGGAAAAGACCATACAACTTTAAACTTTATAGAATATACCAGGAACCAGATATGGTAAAACATATTAATATAGGACATCTGAGGTGGATAGGGCATGTCATGCGGATGGAACAAAATTACGCAACTAGAAAATAGACCCATTGGTTAGAGAACAAGAGGAAGACCCAAAACAAAGTTCCCTCCAGTGAGAGAATCACTGGTCCATGTTACTGGTCTGTTGGCCAACGTCGCTTTGGTCTTTTGATAACTCGATGTTGAGGTATTGCGGAAATTAATGGATTGGAGTGTGTGTTCACTTTTTGAATGTATTGTAATTTTTTTTGCTGGTATACTTCTTTCGCTGTTGAGATATTGAGATCTTCATAGATTCTTTGGTTGGTTACGTACCAGGGTGCATCAACAATTGCTCTTAAGATTTTTGATTGGCATCTTTCCATAATAGCAATATTAGATTTACTACTACAGCCCCACAGCTCTATGCCATATGTCCATATTGGTTTGATAACTGTTTTCTAAATTAGAATTTTATTTTTACTGACAGTTTTTTCCAATTAACCAATTGATTTCTTTTTGTCTTAGTTGTATTTGTTTTCTTTTTTTGGTGATGTGTTCTTTCCAACACAGGGTTTGGTCCAGGTGTAGCCCTAGGTATTTGGTTGTTTTAGTCCTGGGTATTTCCTCATTGTTAATATATATTGGTGGTGGTTTTTCTCGTCGTAAAGTGAAAGTTACGGTGAACTTGTTTTCATTTCATTTTATTTTCCATTGTTTTAGCAAGTTTTCAAGCTCATACAAATAGTCTTGGAGTTGTTGTGTAGCTATGTTAATGTGTTTGTGACTTGTAAGTGCTAGTGTGTCATCAGCAAATGTGCCAATTGGTACGTTATGTGAAGTTGGTAGATCAGAAGTATACAATATATATAATAAAGGTCCCAGGACTCTGCCCTGTGGAATTCCCGCCTTAATGGGATGCATTTTAGATATTTCTCCATTTACTTTTGTTCTAAACTAACGGTTTTCCAAGTATGATGTAAGTATTCGAAAGAATGGTGGTAATATTTGTTTAATTTTATAAAGAAGTCCTTTATGCCAAACCTTATCAAAAGCTTGACGTACATCTAGTGATACCATTGGGCAACATTCTTTTTCTTCTAATGCGGAATTGATTTTATGGGTTATTCGGTGGCATTGCTGGATAGTTGAGTGTTCTCGTCGAAATCCAAACAGCAAAAATTTATTGACGAAAAAAGGATTAACAAAAGAAAAAACTTCCTAAAATAAAAGTTGGGAGCAGAGCAAAAGAATTTTCGGATTTTTTTGTCTTACCAGAAGCAAAAGATGAATAAAGAAAATATTTTTAGCAAGTGAAAGCTGCAAGATTTTTGACCACATAGGTATAATGCATATTATATTAAATTAAAAACATATTAGAAAGCTGCTCAACACTCTTCAACAGTAAGAATTGAATATCCTGACCAAATACGGGCCACTTTTCGTGGTATTTAAACACAAAGTCTATTGTAGTAATCCATTAATCTGTGCATGGATAAAATGAAATTTTTATTTATATTTCCATCATTTAAAAATTATTCCATTAAAACAACGAATTGAAGTGCCATAATATTCAATATTTTGAAACTAAGAGTTATTGAAGATATTTTAAAATTCGTGTATTTAAAATTTCAAAATAATAGTTTTTTCAATTGTTTATTAATCTGCGAAGTAGTGGATTATTTTGTTATGAAACTGCAACTGAACAACTGAGTGTAAGTCTATTCTCGTATAAAACATATACCTTGAACTTGAAAACATATACTTTAAGCAACAGCCGTGAACCTTGAACCAAATTTATATCAACCTATTTCCAAAGTTCTCTAATAATACGCAAGAACAACAGCAAATATATTTACACAAACAACAAAAATTTATTTTTACAAAATCTAAAAATACTTTTATTGATTACTTCGTGACCTAATAAAAAGCTTTACTTACCTCCGTCTTCAATGGGCCTCATTTCTTCTTCCACTAGTTCGACGTCGGTCCTTTTGGGCCATCCCTCGAAGGGTTTCATATAATTCCACACTTTTGCTTTCACCATTTTTGCAATACAACTGACAAACTTTAACTCAGACTGTAGAAGTTTGTGTTTATGTATTATATATAGTTGTCTGCTTTTTTAATGACGCCGCACGATTAGATAACGTGTATCACAGTTGTATAAGAAGCGCGAATTAAACTGAATGAAACGAATCCATTTATTTAAACGCGTTGTTTACTTGATAACTGTCGATGCCGAGAGTCGGGATTTTTAGCGAGTTCCTATATTTTAAATAGTGACTACTGGTCGATGCGGCAGAATGAAGCGTGCTTAGGAGTTTCCTTGATAAAATTGAATAACTCAGCGTCGGGGACGATCTTTGGTCACAAGGATTTTATGATCATAACATAGTAAAAATGAATGTTTTTTTTTTGTGAATATTACTTCTCATCATTGTGGAATATGTTTAATCATAAATATCATATTAGTGATAAACGCATGATTTGTGATTATTTCATAGCAATCAATTGATAAAGATAATAATTTTACTTGATATAAATTGCGAAAATCATTATCTGTAATATCCACATTAAAGAAAACGTTATTAGATGCATTTTTAAATAGTATTTTTACAGTATTTACTGCTTTTAGGATCAGAGCTTTTGGGAAAAGAGCCAGTAAAGAAAAAGGATTGGATGACCGATAACATACTAGACCTTATTCAGCAAAGAAGAAATTGTAAAAATAAAGATGAGACTCGATATAAAGAAATATATCAACAAATAAGATACAAGGTTAAGCGAGCAGAATAGGCCTGGATGGAACAAAGATGTCGTGAGATGGAAGAACTACAAAGAAAATATGACGAGTTTAATATACACAAAAAACTTAAAAATTACCTACACTCAAAGTAAAAAAACAGCTCACTTTATGAGAAACTCCAAAGGTAAAATTATGTTCGACTTAAACGAAAAAAAGGAAGAATGGACCAACTACATAAAATAGCTCTTCCTGGATACGAGGCCACAAATTAACACCACAAATTATACGAATACTGGTCCCAGTATTTTAAAAGCAGAAGTAGGGAAAGCCATCAAACAAGCAAAAATGGGAAATCTCCAAGCCCTGACCAAATACCATCAGACTGGCTCAAACTTCTAGACGACGACAATGTCTCAGAACTAACAAACATTTATAACCACATATACAAAACTGGAACACTGTCACAAATATGGTTGGAGTCTCATTTATCCCACTTTCAAAAAAACCTAATACATCATCATGTAAAGACTTTAGACTAATTAGTCTCATGAGTCACGCTCGCTACTTCTTAGGATAATTCTTAATAGAATCAAGCAGAAATGTCAAGACACAATGCAAAATAAACAATTCGGTTTCAAAGAAGGATTGGGAACAAGGGAAGCTTTGTGCTCAATGCTAACACTACTTCACCGATCATGCGAAGTACAGAAACCAATTTACGTCTGTTTTATGGATTTGGAGAAGGCGTTTGATAGGGTTCAACATGGTAGGCTGTTTTGAATATCTAGAAATGATTTGATTAGATGATAAAGATCTGAGACTTTTACAACATCTATATTGGAATCAAGAAGCTTCTATTCTGTAGACTGCAAAGAAACAGACAACATTTGTATTCAAAGAGGTATTAGACAGGGTTATGTATTGTCTCCAACTTTGTTTAACTTTTACTCAGAAATAATTTTTAACGAAGCCTTAAAAGGCAATATGGAGTTCGAATCGTGGAGAAACTATTAACAACATCAGATATGCAGATGACACCGCGAGCATGGCTGAAAGTATCGATCTTCCATTCCTTATAGATCGAGTCACTAAAGCATGCTCTAATAACGGACTAAGCATAAATACGACAAATACAAAGTTACTTGTGGTTAGTAAACAAGAACTCGGCGCTATACAGCTAATTGTCAATAATGAATCGATAACAAAAGTTAACCATTTTGAATACCTAGGACGTTGGACAAACACTAAATCCGGACGAAGAAATAAAAACTCGTAAAGAAATTGCAAGAGGAGCGTTTATGAAACTTAGATCTCTTCTGAGCAATTCTCAGCTGAACTTATAGCTAAGAATTAAGTTTCTAAAATGTTATGTATATCCTGTATTACTGTATGCATGTGAAACCTGGATTATGAAAATTAACATGATGAACAAATTAGAAGCCTTCGATATGTGGTTATATCGTAGAATCCTCAGAATATGATGTGTTCAACACATCTCAAACACAGAAGTCTTGAACAGAGTAGATCAAGGTAAAGGTGACTTAATAAAGATGATAAAAAAAACTCGAATATCTGGAGCATACAATTAGAATAAGCAGATACATGAGATACATACAAGATAGATTAGATCATACAAGAAATACTCATTGCTTCAAAACCTTCGTCAATGGACTGGCTTATCAGCAGATACTCAAAGAAGACACATTAACACTGAGATGAAGTTAAGAATTTATAAAGCCAGTGTAGGACCAATAATTGCATATGCTTCAGAAAAAGACCCGACACAGCCACAACGCAAAGGCCACTGAAAACGGCAGAGATGACAGTACTGAGAAGAATTACAGGAAATACGCTGAGGGATCGAGAGTGAAGTGAAGACATTATAAGAAAATGCAGTGTATAAATGAATGGACACAAAATAGAAAAAAAATGGAATAACCACATAATCAGAATGGGGAGACCAGTTTCGTCAATATAGTAAGAGATGGATGACCACGCAAAAAAATGGTGTGAAAACCTTCCATAGAGGTATTAATCCGCCATTGAATAAGCAGAATTGTTGTAAAGCGAAAGAAGACGAAGAAGAAAAAATCTGAAAGGTACTGCATTCAATCAAGCAGGTATCTCTCCAGCATCATTATCAAGCATCCTTTTTCTTGGATAACTTTCTCCAGTTATCTATCGTCTATATCTCTATAGTATCAGTTCTTATTTTGTCTACCTCTTCCCTGATCTTTCTACTGGTTGACGCCTCACCATTGAACAAATCCCCTTCGTTGGCTCAGTGAAGATGTTCGTTCAGTTGTAATGGAAACACAAAATAATAGTAGCAGAGTTTATTGACGAGACGTACACTATGGGTGTTGACCCGGGATTACTTTGAGTAGAGACTGTTGAAGTTGAGCGTTGAAGACTATCACGTTTGTTGAGTGAATATTGATTGAATGCTTCTCTAGGAAAGAGATTTTAGTTTTATATAAGTTTTAATTGGGTCAATATATTCGCGGACCTAATGACATGTGTATCTAAGTTGTGTGTAAATTGTTTAACTTTCGTCAGCACTTTCGACTGATGTCCAAATTTTATTGTTGATAATTGACCAAATCTAATGTAACCTAATTAACTACGTGTGTGTATTTAATAACAAATAAATTCATTCGGTCTACTGGGTGATAAAATTATACTGTCCAATTTCGGATATGAATTCTGAAGATTTGATATTGGACACTATAGTTTCACTAAGTGTTCTACTAAGTGCTCTATTTCCGTAATGTATTTTTGTATAATTTTCTATAGAGGATTCTGTGTAATCTTGCTATGACCTAGAAGAATCTTATTCTCCACATACCGTGGTCGCAGATGAAACACACTATTCTTCACAATATCCTGTTTGTCCTTACACCTTGACTGAAGCCTTTGTTTCGCGCATCAGTCATAGATCGCTGTTTTTTCCCTTGGGGAACTAGTTTTGTCCTTAGGGAAATAGGTTCACTTTTTTATACGTTTTGAAGGACCACCCAGAAATTCTGGGACAAATGAAAATTTGCTTAATTTCGAGTATTTACTTTCTGCTTGCTTTCTGTTTTGTTGTGGCAATGAAAAGTTGGACAATAGACTCAAACAGAAAAGAGAATAGATGCCTTTGAAATGTATATATACAGACGGATGCTGAAAAATTCATAGATACGAAAAGTTGACAATGGAGAGGTACTTTGTCGAATGTGTAAACAAAAAAAATTACTAAGAATGATCAAAGAGAGAAAATACAATACTTGGATCATGTGTTGAGAGGTGAAAGATATGAATTACTTCAAATCATATTGGAATGTAAAGTGCAGGGCAAGAGATTAGTTACAAGACGCCAAAACTCGTAGCTAGAAGACCTGAGGAGATGTTTTGACTGCTCATCCACAGAAATCTTTCGCGCAGCAGTTTCTAAAGCTATTTATTCCAGGTCTCTTACCCACAATCATGGATATGTAATACAAATAGACTAACTTGCAATATTCCTGTTCCCCCAGTGCGACAAAGAGAACTGACGTATCCATGCATCTCTTTCTAACTTGCCAGGTTTATTGACCACGTGACGTAAATGGCCAATAAGAAGGTCACGTGGTCGATAAACCAGTCTATGGGCACAGAATAATAAACAATCAGAATGCCCACTCTCAGATGCCGCCTTTGAAGTTTTTCAGCACGCGCGCCATGTTTTAGAAGAAAATACATAACACAGACATATGATTTGTGAGGTTATGTTATTTATATTTATGTTTAATTATATTATATTTATGTAATTATATTTAACAATGTTAATATAATTGTATAGTATGTCTATGATTACCGTAAGTCAATTAAACCGGGTTAATTTTTCTATGCACACCACATAAACAAATTGGTTCCCTTTAAAACATGTCGGAACGTCTGCGCGAACGAGATGCACGTACTTAATTTTCCATGGAGAGTGGGAATTCTGATTGCTTATTATTCTGTGCTATGGGTATTATATGGGCTGGGCTGGAAATGGGCTGGACACAATGAACGTCTCCAAGACGGACGATGGAACAATGCCATCGGATAGTGGCGTCCATACAATGCAAAGAGATCAAGAGGCAGACCACAGATGAGGTGGAAAGATGACATCAGGAAACAAGGAGGTCCCACATGGCAGAGAACGGCTCAAGATAGGGAAAGATGGAGAGAACTGGGGGAGACCTATATCCAAAAATGGAAGGATAGAGAATAGGTTAAAAAAAAAATGGGTATTATTTATTATGTGGATGCTCACAATAAACAACCATATATAGGTTATATTTTTGATATCGCGATTTCGCAGACAAAAAATTTGGTGGCTTAGCTAGATGGCGTAGTTTTCCTACCGGACAAACAGTATGACTTGTGATTGTACAAAAAAAAAAGAAGATTTGGAATGAATCTTAAGAAAACTTTTGAAAGAGTGTAGAAAGTGGGGTTTGGAGGTCAACATGAAAAAAAAACAAATTACCTGTGTATAGGAAAAGAAGTAGCTACGGAAAAACTGGATCTCGACCAAGAAAAAATTGAAAGTGGTAAGGAATACATATACCTAGGCCGATTTATAAAAGGAAGACAAGTAATAATTGGCCTAAATTCTGTTTTGTGACCAAAAAATATAAAAGAAGATACAAAGA